TTTAATTAATCCTTTTCCTTTCAGTTTTCTGACCCCGCATTAGGTTTTCTGCCTCCTTCACCCCTGTACTCTCAAGGTTATGTCCCCCTCTTGATGTCTTCCACAGACTTTTCATGTTTTCAAAAATTATCTTCCTCTCATGTCTTTTTATGCCTAGAAAACAGACCTCGGGAGAATGGCCAGAAGAAAAGCCTAGTCAAGGGCAAAAGAAGTTTCCAAGGTCAAAAAGAAACAAAGGAACTCTATTTCCAGGGAATAACAAACACTGATCCCATCTAACACAGCTGCTGCTTTATCTTAGCAGGTGCCTCAGTCTGGCCTCAGGCAATCTCTGGGGAAGTGCTGAGGTGACTCCTCTGTAGGGCATCATGAAAGATGTAATTCAGCTGGCCACAAGGATAGTATGCGTGGGCATCCAGTCCGAGATGGTAGATGAGAAAATAGCAGTAGCCTCTTGTGGATAGGAATTTGTCCTCAAAGAGAATTTCTGCTGCAAAGTGTTGTGTGGGAGGCAGAACACACTTAGGTCCTATGGGAATTTCCCAGCTCACTGGGAAAACATTGATTGGTTTTATAAAAAGAAAACTCTCAGTCCAGATTTATTCCCTTAAACATTGAGCTCCCCCACTCCTTCTTTTTTTTTTTTTTTTTTTCCCCTCACAGATTCTATTTTCATACATTTAATTATTTTATTATACCCTGGATTATCTTTACTTACCACACGCTTTATGTAGATGTTTTGATGACAATTTCAAACACTGAACTATTAATGCACACAAGCAGTTGAGATGCTGTGTATGCTTTTGAAGATCAGTCACAAAATGGGCATCACTTCTGACCTACTTAAACCCTAAAACCAGGATTTCATCAGTGCATGGGAAAAATGCTAGTCTTCTTCAAAAGGTTATATTTCACTCCCACCGCACAGACGGGTTCATGCAGGACTTGGCAATGCACTTCCTTAAAAAGGGAAAATTCCTGTGGTACTCCTGGAGTCAGTCATCTGCATAACAAAGTAGTCAAAAGGCTTTCTGTACTTGAGGGAGGGAGAACTGGACATTTAAAGCCACATTTTCTATCATAACTATTGATGATAATACAGCTCAGATTGTTATAATTTTCATATTATATTTTAAGAGTTAGAATATGATAAATGATTGCTACACTTTTCAGTGTATCATCTCGATATATTAAAATAAATCTCACATTTTTCTCCCCCTGGTAGTTTCAAGTGGCAATAATTTGTAATTTTTCAGCAATTGCTTTTATTTTCACTTTATTTTCTGATATGTGTGGGAAGTAAATATTAAACACCTCCAGTTACCAGGACATTCTACCTAGATGTTTTCAGAATACTTCTTAATCAACAACATGTGTTGTAGGAACACAGAATTTAGAGATGAGTCAAAAAAACCAGGTACTCCCTGTGTTGGCTGATATACAATATAATTTGCTCTGTTCTTGTAAATGTGCTGGGCAGTGGATGTAAAAAGCTATATTTCAAATGCAGGATACACAGTCATGTTGTTAATTTATAATTCACATAAGATATTAAATTTATTATTAAGTCTTCATAGAGATCTAGGTTTTTAAACTTTTTAGTTCTAAACCAGTATCACTGGCAGTGTGTTTGTATCTAACAAGTCTGTGATGCTGGATACGGACACAGCTTCACATTTAACTTGCACTGCATCCACTCTGACTTCATTGGACTTTCTAGATTGTGCCAAAACACACAAACTAGGATTAAACTTAAAAGGATCAAGTGAGAGCAGGTTGTTAACTTAAGTAATTGATAATTTAAGTAGCTTGGTATCCTCTGAAAACCTTCATGTTCTTCTGTGAGGAGTCATTACTTTTTGTTTATCTTGTGCTCCTTGGGGTTTGGGGGATTTTATATATATAGAAATATTACCTTTGTCCTTCTTTTAGGAAAAAAAAAAAAAGAAAACAAAAACAACTACTCAGCTTACTTGCGTTTATGTCCTCTTTAAAAAAAAATCTCACAATTACTATGGAAACAGCTTTTAAATAGGGAGTAGCAGTAATTAGTAACATCTGCAAGTGCAATATGAAGTCTACAACACAATTAATTCCAGCATTTGGAGTGGATTGTGCAGAGCTGCCCTTTGTTGCATTGCATGGAACAGCAGACTGTACAGAGCCAATTATGAGAAGGGGGCTTGGCATCACCATAGTGGTATATTATGGTTTGTGATATAGTTAGGACTACATAGGCAATATATTCATATGAATGAATGACATCATTATTACATGGTTTAATGGCACATGATTCTGGAAAGAATTAGATTCCTACAGATATTATGGGCAAATGAAAAAATTCCACTTTATACTGTCAGACAACATAAAGATACTCACTTGCTGATGAAATGAGACCAGAGGCTTGAAATGTAACTTTTAAATCCATTCCTTCATTTGAGTTATAGAGACATGGGCAGATCATATCTGGAAATTTACTGACAGATGCTTTTATCTTTTGACTTTTCACTTTCAAAGTAAAATTGGATTATTTTAAGAACAACCAATTAAAGATTTTTAATAAATCATGAAAGTGATAAGAGAACCTATCTGCCTTTTTGCTTTATTGGAGAAGGAATATTATAAATATTTATTTTTTATTATTTCTTAAGCCTACTTGGCATAAACTCTACCATCTATCCCACTAGCTTCTCTCATTAGAAGTTATGGGTGTACAAAAGATTCAAATTTTCATTAAATCATTTTTGCAACTGCTTTAAAATGTGTAGCAGAAGCTGTATGATCAGACTGAGGTATATTGTGTTATACAGGAGGGAGTTCTGCTTTTACCCTGAATGCAAGTATTGGGTCTTGTGCTCCTAAACCAGAAGCTACATGGCCCTTGTTACCTGAGCTAGTAATCTCTGCTTATGGACAAAGCATATTAGATGGGGCCTGGCCCCAGCTAACGGGGCCACCTGGCTCTGATCCAGCACAGGCAAAGCCATGTCAGCCCACTGTGTGCTCCCTTGGCACACTAAAAGATTTCCTTGTCTTCTTTTTACTATTACAATTCCTAATCTGCCATCTTTTAAAAACATGTGGACAAGTGCACATCAGTATGAGTAGACCAAACCTCTGTTGGTGTTCTTGATCCCCTTTTTCTTTATTAGCCTTTCTACTTACCTGCATCAATTCCTTCTCAGTGCCCAGTTGTCCTTCCCTTTCCTATCTTATCTGCATAATCACTTTTTTCCTCCTCATATTCATTTGCCTGTTTCACTTTACTTTTCCTCACCTATTTCTTTTTTAAAATTATATCTTCCTTTTACAATATATGTATATAGCTTTGTCCTCATTTCCACATGCATACCCTTCGTTCTTGATATTTACTCTCCTGTTCTTATTTTTCTTCTATTATCTTTCATTCTAACTTTTTTTCATCTCCCTTCCCAATATTCTTTCTAAGTTACTTTTGCACTCACTACTAGTTTATAAAGCGAATCAAACAAGATACCATCTCAACAACTTATTTTAGGATAAGATGAACCATTCTGTGGAAGAGCTGGTCTATGCCCATTGACTCATCATCATGGCTAGGCTTTGCGAACGAAAGTTTGAGAAGGGCTCTACCCACACTTGCTACAAACACGCTGATGGCTAAAAAGGCCAATGCGAGATAGACAAGTCCGGTTGCAGAAGGCACAGCAGAAAGACTCCCCAGGTGATATCGACAAGACGCGATTCTTTCTGCGTTGTCTTCTCTCCTCGAGAGTGATCCTGTGTGTGTTCTCAAAAGCAGCAGCAGCGTTATAGACGGAGTGTCTCCAGGCCTCTCAATTGGAGGCCAGAGTAGACCAATGGTGATGATCAATATGGCCAAGGATGAGGGATTGTTTCAGGCAGTCCTTGTATCTGCTCTTCGGGCCTCCTCTCTTCTGCTAGAGTTTTGTGCTGAGCAGCAGCTTACCATCACCAACACTATCTTTCAGCAGAAAGATAGTCTGAAGACAACCTGGATGCATCCTAGGTCCAAGCACTGGCACCTCATTGATTATATCTTGGTCCAACAGAGAGATATCCGCGATGTTCGTCACACCCGCATGATGCCTAGTGCAGAATGCCAAACAGATCATTGCCTTGTGCACTGTAAACTTAACCTCCACCTTAAGTTCAAACCTAGAAGGAGACTTCAAGTTAACAGTCTTCAAACTGCTACAGTGAGGGACAGCTTCCAGGCAAATCTTCAATCCAGGCTCGAAGTTCATTCCACAGATCCCTCTCCCGAAGTGCTTTGGCAACTTATTAAAAATAGCCCATTGACTACAACTAAGACAAAAGGAAACCCTTTTTTCATTTTAGTCACTCCATGTGTATCTCACCAAATGCAGAATGGGAACAGCAATAACTAGGTTCCAAGGGAAGGAAATCTGATACAACCTTCCTACTAAGATCTAGATTACCCTGTTGAACCTCCAAAAGCGGTGTCTGTGGCTGGATTGCACAACAGCACCCACCCTTTTGCAGGAATATTGCTAAATAAAATATCAGCAATAACTTCTGAATGTAGCTTTTGTAACTACCTTGTTAATTAGGTAAGATGAGTTAAGTAAGAATGAGATATTGGGGTAGCTTCACTCCACTTGGCTTTTGATTTGTTGTAATTATTCTAATTGCCATCTCATAGTGTCTGTCCTCCCGCTCCAGTGGGTCAGTGAATCATTTTTAGTCTGATAAAGTTGTAAGATACTGGATTTCAGGAGAGTCACATTCTTATGTTTAGAAAAGCACTTACTAGAGTAAGAATGTATCTCACAGGATGAAAAGATGGGGGAAAATTATCTGATTTATGAAATGAAAGAAGAAATATCTATCAATTGATCAATCGATTGATATATAGAGAGGGTTTCAACAAAGAACTGTATCTGTTTAAAGTCAATGAAAGAGATGGAATAAACTAAGTTAAAATAGATTAGGGGCTGAATAGAAGACAGACAAGGTTGTACAAAAATATTGTGTCACTTTATTACAATTTTACGAAAATACATATGTTATTTGTATAAGACTGCTCTAAGAAGTTATAGTTCTTTACAAGTTCAGAACATACCATGGTTTAACATTTATAATTGAGAGTTTTTTCCAGCAAGATTACTGACATTTATGGTTTTCTGTGAGTCGTGTCACAACATCAATATGAGATTTACAATGAGCACTTCTACATTACACTGTGAAATACAACACAGTGATTCTTGAACAAAAAACTTCATTTTCCTTTGAAACTCAGAAGCATAATAACTATACTAGAATGGACACAGAGCCTTCCAAAACCAAACTAACGTCTCCACACAGTGCTACAGTGTTCTTGTGTAGATGTACCAAGACCAGTGATAATTGACTAAATTTTCCATTATGCTTTCTCCTTAAATGGCTGCTGTGATTTAACCCCACCTAGCAACTCAGCCCCACACAGCCGCTCACTCACTCCCCACCACTTGGATGTGGGAGAGAATCTTAAGAGCAAAAGTGAGAAAACAACTCTTGGGTTGAGATAAAGACAGATCAATAGGTAAAGCAAAAGCCACACACATTAGGAAAGCAAAATCAACTCTACGCCAAGCAAAACCACCACAGTGGATGAATTTAAGATGTCCATCAGTTTGTTTTAAGATATCTTTCTTGGTATTCACTGAGCGAATATTTATTATGCTGGACTCCAAGTTTCAATATTAAACTATCCTAAAATTATTGTTGGTTTAACTGCAGTGTCAAAAAACTCAAACAAACAAAAAAACTTCCACTGTGAAAATGCATGCAGCTCTGCTTTCATGACTAGAATTAGGATGAATGTTTTCCTAAAATCTGACAATAACAAGAAAAACATAAACTGCTATATCAAATAGTGAAAGTTTTGCTATGAGATCCAGCATGCTTACTCAAATATAAATAAAAGCAAGGGTGAGAACAAAGTAGCGTTGACTGTCTTGCTGCTGGATGTAGGTCACAAAGTTTTTACAATACAAATTATATCAAATTCAAATATGTAAAACAATTCATTTCACTTGCAATGGGCTGGGTTCTGCATTTCCATCTGGTGCAGACTTCAATAAAAGCTTTTTTTCTCCTGAAATTAGAAATTGAGATCAGGCTGCCTGCACTCTCCAGTCAGTCTTGCACAAGCAAACAGAATGAGAATTAATCAGTAAGATTACCCCCTTCTGTCCTATATAAAACAGACATAAGAAAGATACTACATGCCAGGAACAAAATGGTATTTTAGTATATGGTGTTGATTATCATAGAGCCACAGAACCATAGAATCATTTAGGCTTGAAAAGAACTGTAAGATCATCCAGTTCAACCATTCAAGCATTGTTAAGTCCACTAGTAAACAATGTTCCTAACTGCCACATCTACATATCTTTTAAATATCTTCAGGTATGGTGACTCCACCACTTCTGTGGGCAGCCTGTTTCAGTGCTTGACAACCTCTTCCAGGAAGAAATTTCTTCTAATATCCAATCTAAACCCTTGCTGGTGCAACTTGAGAACATTTTGCCTTATCCTATTGTTTGTTACTCATGAGAAGAGATCAACCTTCATCTGCCTACAAGCTCTTTTCAGGTAGTTGTAGAGATAGGGTCTCCCTGAGCCTTCTTTTCTACAGGCTGAACACTCCCAGCTCCCTCAGCTGCTGCTGCTCAGGTTCTGTTCTTCAGAGTTTTCTCTAGCTTCATTGCTCTTCTTTGGACATCCATACAGACCTTGTCACACTTTTTTACACTATTTCAGCAAGCACATTTTGGCTGAACCCAAGAACATCTGTGGGTTCTGCCTAGCAAAGAACGTGTCACCCCAGTCACAAAGGTGAAATGTACTCAGCATGCTGTTGATCAGGGTTTATTGCCTATAACCCCCTGGCAAAAGACACTTAAGACACTTGGTAACTGTGTGCTATCTATTCACACAAGTGCTGCAATCACTGTATCACTCTATATGTTAAGTCTTAAACTGTCACTGGTTTCAAAAATTTTCTGACAATGTTGATTACTGAAGAGTGAGTTTATATACAGTATAAAACTAGATTATAAAACTTTGATTCTCATTCTAACCTACCATATTTGAGTGTTTTTTTAAAGTAGTTAAGAGACAGAAGGCCTTGCTCTCTTGTCTCTTATGATAGATTTGCAACAGTGTAAATCATTTATGAAAATGTAAAAAAAAATCCAGAAATTGAAATAAAAGAGAGAGGCTTGATCATGAATTAATACCTTTTACTGACAAAATGAACTGAGAGGAAGCCTTTGATACCAATTAAATTTTGTAGTTTTGCAATAGGAATTTTTATTACTGAAATACAGACCACCATGGTCACTTGAAAGTTTCCCAATAATTTCAGTAGAATCATAGAATCACTTAGGTTGGAAAGGATCTTTAACATAGAGTCCAAACATAAAGCTAACCCTGCCAAGTCCACCAAGTAGGTGCAAAGCAAACTTTCTGTAAGATGCCTCATTATATCAATACCTGTCGCTCCTGTGCTCCTTCACAGAAAGGTCTCGGTCAGATATGACAGGCAATAAATTTAGAATGAAGTGAAGTAGGAATAAAGAAAGATTTACTTTCGTTGTTTGTCATTCAAGACTATATTTAAGTGCTTAAAAAAAAGGACTTGTCAGGTGTAACAAATATTTAGGAATCTCAATAAGAATATCTGCAGGACAACATTGCTGTAATATGCTGTACATAGAAGCTATGTATTTAAAATAATGTGACTATGCAAGGAAATAGTTTAATCATCAAATGTAAAGAAATTGCTTGTTTAGGAGGTTTTAATGGCTTTTTAAAATTTCATGATGAAACTACATTTGTACTTTTTTTTTCCTGCATTATGGGAGGATGAAGACATATCAAGAAACTTTATTCTGCTAGTTCTATGTTTTAAGTCAATCACACTTTTTTTAATTGAAGCTAGTGGGAACTCATTTGAGCCCAATTACTCATATCCATATATGGTTTTAGGATGAGATCACCATTTCTAAACATTCTGCATCTTTATTAAATACCTGTCATATTAATGAATTTTTAAGCCATAAATAATTAGGTGAAGCAAAAGGGTGAGTAATTAGTAAATAACACATTGCTCATGGAATAAGTCCTGCTTTCTTTTCTTCCCCATGCTTCAGGATGGCATTGGCTTCCTAAATTTCAGATTCAAAAAAAGGCAAAGAGCTGACTTCCAGCCTCACTTAATTTTGCAGTAACACTTGCAGTAACACTTGTTACTTGAGTCCACTTTTTCTCAAAACTGGGCTCCAGTTTAAGTTTCCTTGTAAATCCTGTAAAGTTTGCAGGCTGATCGTGAGTCGTAGGTCACAGATCTTCCCATGAATGCCATGCCTTGCTCAGCTCCATTTTCCAGCCTTGGCTTTTTCTTCGCACCTCAACCAGCTTGTCTGTAACTGTGTATTTCTTCTCCATGCTGGAGCCACATGTAGACAATTTCTCTCTTTCTTCCATGAATTTCAGTGCACTCCACAGGCATTTGCTTACAGTGTTCACTGTAGGATTAGTTTGCAGAGGGTCTTGTTACACAGTTGTAAATAGCACAGTAGAATGGAAACTTTGAATATTGCTCTATTAAAACATAGAAGTATTTTCTCTAGCATCTTTTTCACTTTTCAGCTATTTTTCAGGATATTAGTACTGATGAAACAGTCACAATCCAGGTCAGTACTAGGTACCCACCCGTTCATTGCACAGTTCCATTGCTAGCCATGTGTCATTGCTGTAGGAATTATTAGCAGCTATTATTATTGCCTTAAGAAGCTCTATAAGCATCAGAAATGTAGGTTTACAGAAAATTATATCAATGATGAAAGAAACATTCCTGTGTAACTCTCTATTTCTCTATTATTTTGCGTTATCATTCTCTGATCTGGTCTGCTGTATGTTATAGTGAAATGGTACATCTGAGTAAGGGTGGTCTAGCTTATTCTCTCACCTCCTGAAACCATTTTCCATGCATGTTTGCATAGTCATTGGTACCCCCACTCACCTAGACCAACACATGTTGGTTGCCCACTCTGGTGGATTCTCCACTGGGATAACACTTGTTTCCCAAGCTCAGTGTCCCTGGGTTGCTGAACAGGCCTCTGGGGGCAACACAGCTGGGAACTGAACATGAACACTTCCTGTTGAGAAGAGATGAAACAGGCATATGCTTGATCCTTCAAGTAAGGAAGGAGCCAGGTAAGGCATTCCCTTTTATTCTGAAGGGGTGTTGGCAGAGTGTTAATCCGTCACTGTGTTGCCTACTGCGAGATGTAGGTCTTTTGAGCCACAACTAAGTGAAGGGCCTTGAGGGGAAGCTGTGTAAGGAGCAGATGAGGTCACTTGGTCTGTTCAGCCTGGAGAAGAGGAGACTGAGGGGAGAGCTCATTGCAGTTACAACTTCCGTGAGAGGGAAAGAGGATGGTCAGTGATCTCTTCTCTGTGGTGACCAGGGACAGGACCCAAGGGAATGGCCTGAAGCTCTGTCAGGGGAGGTTTAGGACGGATATTAGAAAAAGGTTCTTCACCCAGAGGGTGGTTAGGTACTGGAACAGGCTCCTCAGGGAAGTGGTCACAGCACCAAGCCTGACAAGAGTTCAAGCAGTGTTTGAACGATACACTCAGCACATGGTGTGATACTTGGGGAGGGCCCTGTGCAGGGCCAGGAGTTTGACTCGATGATCCTTGAGGGACCCTTACAGCTAAGGATATTCTGTGATTCTGTGACACTGATAATGCTACCCTTAGTGTGGGAGCCCAGGAATAAGGAGATGCCTAAATTATACTCTAAGAAGTAAATTTGTCCTGGTCTTGTGCAACCTGAACTAGTTCACATTTCCCCCCTCTTTCCTCCATGCATTTCTCCAAACCTTTAATCCACTCCCCAACATCTTCTTTTTACCCTAGATCTCATAATTTCTATTAGAATTGAGCCCCTGGTGGTCTAGTGGTAAGGGCGCGGCGCCGAGGCCCGGGTTCGATTCCCGGTCAGGGACACTCCCCGGGCAGGTGGAGCTCGTTAGCCCTTAAAGGCAATCCACCTACGTCCTAAGGACCTCGCTGCCACTGTCCAAGCTCGCTTGGCCCTGGCAGATGAACCTTAGGATTAAAGGGTGGGCTCAGTTCCGCACACACTGTGTCTCACCTAAAAAAAAAAATCCAATGCGCAGGCTGGAAGGTGTAAAGACCTTCCCCGGATCTTCGCTCGCGAAGACTGGCCAGTTTTTTTTTTACATCCTGTGTGAAGCAGAACTTCCATGTCACAGGCCCATGACTCTGCAGTTACCTGTTGTACCCCTGTGGGGAAGCAGAGGTGCTCAGGTGAGCAGTTACAGCTAAATATGCAAAGTGATGCCACTTCGTGTGGCAAAACTGTAAAGTCTATGGAGACCTACAAAAGCTGGGCTAGAGATACTCTTCAGACTGCTTGAGTCTACAGGCTGCAGAATCATTTTAGAGAATGCTATTTTGGACTTACATCCAAACCCTGAATCCTACGTACCTACCGGTAGGTGGATAGGTGAAGACAACTGGGAGTTCTTCCCACCAGCTCCCAAGTGCCAGCTCCAATCCAGAAACAATGTAGATGAGTGACTGCATGCTTTACAGATTGCAACTGAAATATGGTGCTGGCTTTGAGCCCGGGCAATGCGAACACTCAATTCTTCATTTGTGGATCTCAGCTTTGACCCTTTTGCCATCTTTATAAAATAGAGATGAACACTCCTCTGTGTTATAGAAATTGTTGTGAGTTAATACACTCAAGATGATGCGACTCTTAAAACAAAGGATGTAAACCCGACATAAATACTGGATCTGTTCTTTCATTTTCACCTGTGGAACCAATTAAATATATTAAAATATAAATACAGTGCCAGTATTAAATATAAATATGTAAGCATATAAAAAGAAACAAACAAACAAACAAACAACTAGATCGATAAGAAAATAAAATTTGTCACTGAACTTTTAACTGCTTTAGCAAATAAACCAAGAATTATTTCCCTGGATCACTTTCTCCATTTGTACCGAGAATGTATAGTTGCCACAGAGACTGCTGTATGTGAACATGGGTAAAACAGAGGACGGGAGAGGAAATGTGTCCTCCTGGATTTCCATAGGGATCTGAGATAACGATATGGGTTAGCGATGCGGCGGGGCGGGGGCGCAGCCCGAGGACTCCCGGCCGTGACCCCGGGGGCCGCTCCCCAGAGGCTCCAGGGACCTGGCGGGGATGGGACGGGACCCCTCGGAGGGCGGGGGCGGCGGAGCCGAACCCGCGGGGCCGAGCAGCGCTGCTCCCGCCGGCATTTAGAGAAACATCTATAAAACATCTATTTAAAGCAAAGCCCAGACTGGTGGCACATGGGCTGTGCGCGGCTGCTGCTGCTGCCGCCGCCGAGCCTGGCAGGAGGGGGCTGGAATTAGAATAAGGCACGAAGCGGTTTTAAAAATAGCGTGCGGGCTGCGCGGGGCGGGGCGGCGGCTCCGCGGCCCCGGGGCCGCCCGGCCCGGGGAGTTCCTCGGCGCCTTGTATGGAGCGCGGCCGCCACAGGGCCCGGCGCCCGCCCCCGCTCCCCGCCCCGACTTTCCCCGCTGCCGGCAGGGAAAGCAGGAGTCGGCAGCAAGCTGCCCGTCTCCCAACTCTCTCCCCTTCTTCCCTCCTCTCCTTTCAGGAGCCGCCACCCCGCCTGCCTCTCTCTCCACCTCCACCTCCTCTTTCTGCTCTGCAATCAGGGGAATAAATCAGGGAAGGACGCTCACACGCGCACGCAGAGTAGGATCTGTTACAAAAGTAGCGCTGATGGCGGCGGATCAGATGAAGCTGGAGCTGCTGCTGGAGTAGCAGAGAGTGGAGTATCTCTCGCTCTCTTTTCTCTATTTCGCCTCTTTCCCCACTCCACCCACAGATCTCCATCGTTTCTCCTCCTCCTCCCCACCCTCGGCCGCGCTCCCGCTTCTCCGCGCATCTCTGGGCTGCGCCTCCTGCGAGGGGCGGGTGGGGTGGGGGGAGCGGAGGAGGCTTTAAAGAACCACGGCCCCCCCGCACCACCACACACACGATAATTGAATTTATTATTATTGCCGTCTCGCCGACTTGGGAAAGGGGGATCGATCTTCGATCAGGAAGATGGCTGCTGGCTGGCTGCTGGTCTTTAGCCTGACACTTTTCCAGTCCCTGGTGATGAACCACTCCTCGGAGGGACCGTTCCCCTCAGCCACCACGTAAGTCCCGCTGGGGTCCGGGTGTCCGGGGCGGGGGCGCGGCCGGGGCGGGGGCGCTCCTCGGCGCCGGGGACAGCGACATTACAAAGGGAAATCAAGTTAGTCCAGGGGAAAGTGGCGGTAGGGGAAAATTGCAGGATTTCGGCAGCTTTTGCTTAGGAAAGAGTCAGAGTAGCGGAGGGTCCCGTCGGGGCGGGCGCTGCGAGGGGTGAAGCCCCGGTGACGGCCGGCGGCGGGACTTTTGAGGTAAAGGCTTCGCCTGGAAAACCCGCTCCGGAGCGGCTCCCGGCTCCAAATATACCCTGTCAGGTCATCCTTGCCGAGAAGAAAGTTTCGAGTTACAAAGAGTCCGCCCCTTCCTCCCACAGAGGTTATTCCAGCCTGGATGGAGATTTAACACTATTTACAAAAAAAACCAAATCCCCCCTCAAAAAAAAAAACCACCAAAAAAAACAAAAAACCCAAACAAACCCAACCAAACAAAAAAAAGCACAACAAATCCACCAGCAAACTTTCGCAATTTTATTAAAATCCACGCAGAAAGGCGGATTTTGTTGCCGTTCCGCGGCCGGCACGTGAGGCGGGCAGGGCTGGGAGTTCCGAGCCCGAGCTCCGGCTCCCTCCTGACTGGCCGCGCTCCAGCGCATCCACAGGGGCTCCCGGTGCCGCGGGGTCCGGGGGTGCACACGCGTGGGTCCCGCCGAAGGGTCTTTTTTGCCCGCTGAAAGCCACACAACTGAAGAACTGTTCTCTTCAGGCTTGGCCTTGCAGATCGTTGTTTCTCAAAAATACCTTCGCGAGAGCTGAGGGATGCTCTCGGTGCACGCAGCTCAGTGCCTCGCCTGGCCCTGAGATGGAAATCTTTGAAGCACTGCAGAGTTATTAACATGAAAGTGTTGCCCAGAGCAGTGCAAAGATCACATAATAATGATGCAATAAAAGAAAGGCAAAAAGAAGCCGATACATCATATTGGAGATTCGCCAGCAGATCGGGAAAAAAATCCACGACAAAGCACTGTGATCGTGTTTTCTTCCTTTTTCTTCTCTCTCACCTCATTATTTTAATATTCTTTTTGTTTAGTTGTTTTGGGTTTTTTTTTAAAACACTTACCTGAGTCCCCGAATCTGGGTTAAAGCTACCAGTAGGTAACTTTTAAGTGGATGACTCACTTTAACGCATTTTACATAAGAAAAACAGTGCTAATGGTAGTCTTCCCTTATTGTTTAACGCTGGGTAGAATTTATTGCTGCCGTTCATCCAGGGCAGAAGGATGAGTTTACAGCAATTATCAGCAATGCATTTTCACCAATTAGTACTGCTGGTAGGCTGTTATAATTGGATTCAGTTCTCAGTATCGGTTCCATTATGAAAGACTCAAAGGGATGCTAGCTAGCACTGTTATATGAAAGAAAGGAATACAAAGATAAGTGTAGAATAACCACTTAATATCTTCTAAGCTGAAAAAATGCAATCTTTTATTGTAGGGAAAATTATCCTTTAAAATATTTTCCTAATGATCCTTTAAAATATTTCAGTTTATAAAGATGTACCATGTAGAAGCAAGAGCAGCAAAATACAAAGCCCGGGCTTTTTAAGTCATTGCTTTTCTTGTGCTTGAGCTCCTGTATTTATGGTTTCTTATTGAGATGATAAGTTTATCGTGCACAACTAATTACAAATTGTCTTTTACATAGATTTTGCTGGGTTTAAATGAGAAAAAAATATATAACCCAGTGTCTAAAAAGATTATGCATAATTTTAAATAAAAGTCTAGATAGCTTCTTAGGGTAAGATTACGTGATATTTCCATAAAAATTATTTTGTCTCTCTGTCTGTTTTTACTAATTCTTTTCAGAATTTACCTTTACTGCCAACGATGATAATAGAAATTGTCAGCAAGGAAACATATCACTTTAATTATAATGATGATAAAGTAATTCAGAGTATGATGTTAGTCATCAATGTTTCCATGCTCTACACAATCTACTTGCTGTTGGCCCTCTTTTTTTCTCATTATTATTCCATTGAAACATTATAGAATTAATCTATAGTGCCTGTCCAACCTTCATAGTTATGTTTCCCCTTTGAAATGGAATCAAGGTGCAAACAAGTCTTAATTCATTTACAAGGAAGCACAACAGGTTGATGCATAGAGCTGCTTTGCAAAAAGTAATGATGTAACAGGTGAAGGAGAAAACAATTTTTTAATTCTTTTTTAAGCCTTGACAGCAGTGTTTAATTTCCTACTATGGATTACAAATGGGAAAGAACAAAGAGAAGTGACGCAAATGCTTTTAATGTGAAAGATATTATATATTAAGAATACTAAAAATAGGAAAAAACATGGGAGAAGAGAATAAAGGAAAGAAAGGACATGTATAATTGAAGAACTGAAGGTTTGCTGGTGATATGTACTTAGCTACCTGCTTTCTCCCCATTCTTTTCAGTCCTTTTTTCCTCTTAGTTAAAAAGTTGGTCTGAGGAAGCAGTATTTCCCAGTTGTTGTATGAAAAATGTGCATATTTGGGGCTATATAGTTCATGATTTCTTTAACAACTGCTTTTTGTACAATCACTTTTCTTTCAGTCACATATTTCTTCTGCATCAATAAATATTTAAAAATTTGCTTTTACTAAAACATTTAGAAGTCCCTATCACTAATATAGTAATATACAAGCATGAAACATTTTTAGCAAAAAGTGCCAAAGGTTTAAGCAATGCTTGTAGAATCTCAGTAATTTCATTAATTATACTTCTCTGATAAGGCAGGAGGGCTCTGATATATTTACCCAGCAATATATAGAGAATTTCAGGTTTGTCCTGTATGAAATGGGATGGAAGCCTTATTTTTTCATTGAAGATCTGAGCAGGTGGTATAATTGCATTTGTTGTTTCTGGTGTTGGAATATTTCACCGCAAATATTGAAGACTTTTCTTTAATGAACTATTTAAATATAGCAGTAATCATGTCTTGATCTTTAGCTATGAGGCTTAGCTACTGATTGATGCATATTATGTATCATTAAAATGTATAATTTTCATTGTATCAAATACTAAGTATCTATCATATGCTAGTTCAAGATACCATGTTCTTACTTTTAACACAGCAACTCCAAGTCCTTCAGTTATACACACAACACAGCAGATATTTTGCACTTAGATGAGAATATTGTTGTCTATAGTAATCCTGTCGCTTTAACCACACTACTGGTCTCACAGTACACAAAGTACTTCTTTCTTTGTAGCCATATATACTTATTTATCATCACATCTATAAAGGCTTCAGAAAAAAACATACTGTTAAGTATATGTAGTTTGTATGTTTCCTGATAATGATAACACAGGACTCAATTTATTTCTGTTCTTTTCTCTATACTGCATCAAAACAGATAGTCTTGAGTTTAAATATATGTTGTAATTCTTAAGTATCCTTTTGGCACAGCATGTCTTAGCAGTGTTGATATTGTTACTGATAGTGAGTAATGTACTATATAAAGATACACCTACTCCTTTCTGATAATAAATCTGTATGTCTGTTCTTTTTTTTCTCTAATTTTCCTCTGCAATTCTTTTTCTCTTTTTCCCTTTTAATATTTTTTCATCCTCAATCACCTGTTCTGTATGTATATATTAAATTATACATTATACTCCAGACAGATTTGCCACTTAGATAAATTTGTGTGAAACATTATATGGATAAAAACTATATACAGAAGATAAAAATAATATACGTATGAACATATATCTGTACGTATGCAGGCAAACATTTTTAGAAAAGAAGTTGTGTATTCCCATTTTTTACTTACATGAGTCATCCTTACTGTTTTGGTGTCATTAGGACAACTCAGGGAAGTCTGCATGAGTCATATGAATTGGGACTTGCACAACTGGGACATTCATAGTTTTGGTTTCTTCACATGGGCCTAACAAGTGTAGGTCCTGCTGAGAGTGTGGCTGGGCTTGGAATGCAGCGTTGCTTTGATACAGCATTGGTGACCGGAGGTAGAGGGATGACATTTATAATGTGTTCTTTTCATCTGTTTCTACTGTCAGACTTGGGGATTTTGACACATCTTGTATACATATAATCTCATTTTTAGCATAAAATCTGTGATAGAAGAATGCCAGTTTTACTTCTGATGTTAATTAGAAAAGACTGGTGCATTAATGAACAGTAAAATATCAGGTCGTTTCTCATTTGAAAATAGGGGTTTTTTTCCAATCTATTTAAAAATCTTCATTACTAGGAAAAAATGATCTACTGAAGTGTACCTTCATATGAGTGAATTGGAAAGAGAGCCAAAAGATGTAATCTCCTTAGAATCAGGGAAGTGCAATATCACCTCTTAGTGTTTTCTCAGCAGCACATGTCTGAATGCTGAGCATTATGCAAGATGTACAAACCCACTGATATTTTAAAGAGTGTTGCTCCAATCCATTCTTCTGGTAGAAACATACTTAAAATAAGTGTGAAAGAGAAACAGCTTGTTAATTGGTGGTGGGGTTTTTTTGTGTTTTGGTGAGGAGTATTTGCTGTTTCTGGTGTTGTGTTTTTGTTTTGTTTTGTTGTTTTTTTTTTTTAAGTGTCTCTGTACATACTGTGGAGAGAAATGCAAACTATTTGGTCCCACAAAGCATTTTTCTGTTTTACATATTTTATGATGCAAATTGTGAATCAGTATTTTTTTCATTTGTTTGTTTCCCTCTTAGATATTTATGCTGAAGCCTCAGAATTAACAA